TACTTCAAAGTAAATAAGAGCTTATGCTCTTTTACAACAATTGATCAAATCAAATTACTTTAAAGTAAAGAAGAGCTTATGCTCTTTTACAACAATTGATCATATCAAATTACAACCAAAATTTAATCTACACATTCCCATGGTTTAAACAAATTTGAAACGGCCTTTCACATAGCTCAATTATAGTAGGCTTAGGTTCATAATCACCCTTTCTTTAATTAATTAACGCTTTAACTAATTAAACTTGAATGCAACATTTTCATTTGGTTTTTGTATCCATAGAATTGATTTAAATGGAGCTAAATGAAATGAAAATCCAATTCTCATTTAAAGAGACAAAACAATTTTTGTTCTCTACCTAATTTGGGCCAAAATGCTATGACCTCAACTTGTTTGGGCATAGTGCAATTAACCTCAACTTTTGGGCTATTTTGCAAAAACTTAAACTTTTGGGGTCACTTTGTAAAAACACAAAAGTCCACTACTTCATGTAATTACAACTAGAACCCAAAAATTTCCACAAAAGCTAAAACTTCATTAAAGGAGCAAAACAATTTGTCCTTTTAGTGATTTTGGACCTTTACGTAAAAACGTAAACTTTTGGGTCAAAGTACAAATACACAAAAGTATCAAAACTTTATGTAATTGCATAAAAGCCCCACAAGGACCCTAATTGAGTAGGGTGGCCGGCCATTGAAGCAAAGTTTATAAAAAAATTTCAAAGTTTTGTAAGTGGGGTGTGTGAAATGGAATAAATCATTACACACCTACCCACTAAAATTTCTTTAATTTTTCAAAACAAATATCTAAGATATTTAAACATAAGAAATATTTCAAAACAAAAACTTTATGAAATAAATCAAAACTTTGAATCAAAACACCAAACCTTTTGTTCTTGGCAAGAACATATCAAGAACAATGAAGAACATCCATGAAAACCCATAAGAACTCCATGAACATTCTTCACCCAAAAACATACCAAAACCACTCAAACTTAAGGGAAATAACATACAACCATACTAGGGTACATAGGGGTTCCAAAAGTCACTTTAAAACACTTTTAACAAGTCAAACAAGAACCCAAAAATCCACCCTTTGGATTTGGCCGAATTTCCCCAAAAACATGGCACCAAATTTTAGCTCCAAAATTCATGCTCATATGAACTACATCTACAACATTTGAGATGGCAAATTTTCTAACAAAATTTACATTCAAAGAAGCAAGAATAAAGCTTGTAACAATTACAACATTCAAATCACAAACTATGAACTACAAAACCCAAAAGGATTCACCAACTACTAGACTTAGGCTCTGATACCACTTGAAGGAAGATTTGTGAAAAACAAGTTCATTTGAGCAACATCAACAACATGCAATTAACAATTAAAAGGCGGAATCATGTTTATATGCACTCAAAAACAAAACTTAATCCATGAACTTCAAAGCCTAGTAAATAGGTGAACCAAGACTCAACTCAAAACAAAGTGAGTTGAGAAATCAATACCTTTGTAGATTCCTCTTTGCATAAGTAAAGGCTAATCACCCAAAGAGAGGGCCTTCATTCCTTGCATCTTAGATCCATGGATTTGGATGGATGAAAAGGTTTCTCCAAGTTCCCAAAATTGAGAACCTCTAAGTCTCCACACCAAGGCATATTGAAGAAGAAATGAGTGACCTAGAGGAAGTAAGATTGCTAGATTTTCCCCTCTAGATTGGCCGGCCTCTTTGAGAGCAAAGGGAGGTTTGTGTTCTCATCTTTACTCCCAAGAAAACCCTAAGGATGAAATGGCTATAAAGATGTCTTTATATCACCTCACAATGGAGTGGCAAACTTGCAATTAAGCCAAGTTCACTACCCTCCTCTAAATGGCCGGCCTAAGGGGATTTATTGGGCTATTTGGGCATTTGTGAATCATTATTCATTAAGTTGTCATACAACTTAAGTCAATGGACTTGACGTTCGAAGCCCATTGGGCCTTAAGGTCCAAAACTATCCCGAGGTCTTTTAACGAACTTATTCGTTTGATTAATTAACATATTAATTAATCCTTGCCATAAATAATTAAACCATTTAATTATTCTTACTCATCTCCGTTGAATCTTCAATCTCTACCTTACACGGTGTACGATCCATTAGGTTCCTTTTAGCGAGGCAGTGGGCGATTCAAACTCTTTCAAATCGATTGTGAATTGAAACTTACTTTCAATTCTCCCTTTAGTGTTTATACACGTTTAGGGCTTCCACAAACCATGAGTGACACCTAGCAGCATATCATGGTTACCCAAGCTAATCAGAAGAGGTGGAGAACCTATTCAGTTTAGGATTACAAATGCAATACGGTCTTTCTCTAATACAATACTCTTGACCACATTGTTTGGTTTGATAGTTTATTCATGTCTACTATCCAATGTGAATCTTGTACTTATATGATTACCTTGAATGTGATCTGGAACGCATTCCAACATCTCATTCATACTCTGGCCAGAGATTCTAAATCATATCATAGAGTATTCTCCCTCAAACAGTTTGAAGGTTAGAGATCCCTTGTTGCGCATTCACTTGCCTCCATGGCTAAGTGGCTTAACCCCGACGATGCCGTGGACACCCTGATAGAGTGACTTTTGACATAATCAAAGATCAAGTACCTAACCATAAGACAGCTGTGATGCCTCAGGTTAAATGACTACTTTGCATTATCCCAACCATGAGTTTTCATGTGACATGAATATGAGAACTCCTCGTTGATCGTGTTCAGTGAACTCATTCTTTATTGAGCACCTACATGCTTGTCTTGGTGTCACTCACACCAATGACTCGAGACTAGTCACTCTCCCTGAGAGAAGACACAACACGTACTGATCTTAACGGACTGTCAATGCCCAATTGGCAATCCTATGATCAGGAACGTTTAGGATGTGTCTACGAAAGAATGGTCTCATGAATCTAACTTCTTTAGATCGCATTCTCCCAATCACATATTCCTTGGACTTATCGTTTAAGCATATAACATTTATATGAGACGGCTCAAACAATAATGTTTGCCCTTAATATTAAACTAGATTAGTTTAACATGTGAAATGTCCATAAAGTATCATCATATGATTGGTTTTAGGGCACATTTCCAACATAAACTTACTTCAAAAAGCTTCATTCAACCCTTAATATTCTATTCTCTGTCATATAGACGGCAAATTCCTATTAATTGAAAAAAGAAAAACAAAACAAATCAAAACCAAGTAAGCAAGCTTAGAGTAATCTTAGATCACAAATAAAGTTAGAAATTTAAAACTTAAAGTAAGGAATCCTAATAAGATTTACTCTTAGATCACAAACAAAGGCACAACAGAATCCTAATAAGATTTACTCTTAGATCACAAATAAAGTTAGAAATTTAAAACTTAGAGTAATCTTAGATCACAAATAAAGTTACTCTTAGATCAAAACCAAGTAAGCATTCTTATTGCCAAATTTCTAACTTTATTTGTGATCTAAGATTACTCTAAGCTTGCTTACTTGGTTTTGATTTGTTTTGTTTTTCTTTTTTCAATTAATAGGAATTTGCCGTCTATATGACAGAGAATAGAATATTAAGGGTTGAATGAAGCCTTTTGAAGTAAGTTTAGTGCCCAAATCATTAAAAACAAAAAGTTTAAGATTACTTAGTAAGAGTAAATCTAAGATTACTCTAAAATTATAGTAAATCTAAGATACTATCTAAGATACTATAGAATCCTAATAAGATTTACTTTAAGTTTTAAATCCTAAGAGTAAATCTTATTTGTGCCTTTGGTTTTGATCTAAGAGTAATTTTAGAGAAACTTAGTAATGTGATTGTGTAAATCTTAGTAGGATTCTATAGTATCTTTTAGATAGTTGATTCAGTTGTAATACCTAAAAAGTAAGGAATTTACTTTCTTACTACTATTAACAAAGGCACAACAGGAGTGGGATAAGACACACACCTCAAAATTTACTGAATCTCTCACTCTCTATTGTTGCCACACCTCTCTTCCGTTCTATAATTCTTCAGTTAAATATGTTTACAACAGTACTTATATAAGTTTTTTCTTTCTTTAAATGTCTTTTGTGTTTCCAACATGCCTTTATTTTATTCATTATAAAAACTTACATAAGACATTTAAAAAAAAATAAATTAAATTAAATTAAAAAAAAAAAAAAAACCAAACAAGGGATATTATGTCAAGTTAACACGTGAAAATTAATAACCACGAACTGGTGGCCCAGAGGTAAATGGCGGATTGCGAGACTTATTTCAAACTAAAAACTGAAGGTCTTGGGTTTGAAACCCGCTGCTAGTGTGGAAGTTAGACTTGTGGCCAGGAGGAGGCTGAAATGTTTTTGTGAGTCTTCTCTACTCTCGAAAGGGGTGAATAACCGTGACTTGCCACCAGTTATCCCTCTTTAAAAAAGAAACACGTGAAAATTAATTAGTTGCTAATCCAGTTAAAATTTTCATTATAAAAGCATCATGCAGTCTTTACTATTCCGTGTTAGTGGAGTAGCTAAGGAAAATAATTTCTCTTAAGCTTAGTAATTAATATTATAATTCAACTTTGTTTGTATTCCTAATTTGGAGGGATTTTTTATATTCCTGATTTGGAGAATTCTTAGTTGTACACAACTCTACACGCTTGTATATATAAGCCTTTGTACTACGAATAGAATTATGGAGATTATAATTTTACATTCCGCCTCAGTGTTCATTCACATTGTGTTATAGGTTACTCAGTAAGATAATATCTCAAAGTGCAACAAAAATGGCACAAGCAACAATCAACCTTCTTTTCCTCTCCCTACTATCAACTTTGTTAGTAGCCCTAATACCACCATGCCACAGAGTCACTGCAAAACCTGATGGCTTGACCCTTAAGCTAATCAGTCGAAACTCCCCAGAGTCACCTTTCTACCAGCCAAACCTCACTTATGAACAAAGAACTTGCCCACCAGTCTATAGCACGTGCCCAATACCTAAAAACCATGACCACCTTAGCATCTAAAAAAAATCAAACACTTGATCCCTTCACTCCTGAAACAGTCCGTATGATCTTTAACAATTTTCAGGACTTGGCATCCTACCACGTCAGAATCGGGGTAGGCACACTTTCTACTTCTCCGCAATACAAATCATACAACCTTTTGGTGGACACAGGGAGCGATCTCACTTGGCTCCAATGCGATGGATGTCGCACCCACCATTGCTTTAAATCGGTAGATGAACCGTTTCCTAGTAGCGCTTCTTCATATAAGCCTCTGCCGTGCAGAAACCACCCACTTTGCGAGGCTGACTGTGAAGGAGCGTTTTGTGCCATTATAAGAACCTATGGTGACGGCCATACCACTGTTCAAGGTGTTCTTGCATCTGAAACGTTCAGTTTTGAGAGTAGTACCGGCCCTCCGTGCAGTAGAGAGCTTGTTCGAGATTTAGTGTTTGGTTGCAACATGGACAACACTGGGGTACGTATGTTATCCAGAACGTCAATTTTTTATTTATTTAGGGGGTTTTGATAATTATTTTTGTTTTCAGTTTCAGGTGCGTATAAGCCTATGTTAATTTTATCCTAATTGTCAGGTTGCATTTGATAAAGACGGCAATCAAATGTACGGTATACTGGGTCTTGGTTTTGGTTCGCGGTCGTTTGTAACTCTATTGCAATCCGCCGGCCAAAGCGACGGCCGGTTCTCGTACTGCTTCAGACTCGAACCACAAGCGGGCCCTACCTCTTCATTCCTCAAATTTGGCGCGGACATAGTGGAAAAACCCGACCTAAGTGTGACAGCATTGAGGAAATACAACGACGCGTCATCGTACTACGTAAAACTTACTAGGAATAAGCATCATGGGCGGTAGGCTTAACATTCCGCCGGAGGTTTTTACCGTTCAACCTGACAGAACCGGGGGAACTATACTTGACTCAGGCCAGCCAATGACTACGCTTCTGAAGCCTGCTTATTTTGTATTAGTGAAGGGTATAGAAGCAGTGTTCTCAGCGATGGGGGAGGCAATCGTGAGGAAGATCCCTAGTAGATTTCCGCCTTTGGAGCCGTGCTACGAGGTGGTGAATAAGCAAGCTTTTACGGGGTATCCGTGGATCACGTTCCATTTCGATAACAATGCCGATCTAAATTTGGAGTATGGGGCTACTTTCTTTGTTGTGGAGAATGAGTCTGGAAACATGGAGTTTTGCTTGGCAGTACGTCCTGAGCTAGATAATCATGGTTTGAACTCAATTGGAGCGTTCCAACAGATCAATTCCCGCTTCATCTATGACACAAAAGGTTTCAAATTGTTTTTTGGTCCGGAGAATAGTTTCGAGAGTTCCTAATATGTGAGATGATTAGAAATTAGTTGAGTGCTTTATTTTCCGAAAAATTAGTTGAGTGCTTAATTTTCTCCTACTAGGGTTTAACTAGCTAGTTAGCCTTTGAGGGACCGTTTCTCTCAATGGGATTAACTTTAAGGGACCATTGCTACAATTTTTCTCCTTTAATTTTCCATATTTGTCCATTCATTCAGCCTCACGTGCGTGGCACGTGACTCATTTTGACGAAAGTTCTAACGAAATTGACAAAAATGATCATAACTACACGTTTTGATAAGTTAAGAGACTAATGGTCACGGTTTTTTAGTTGATGGACCATTTCTCCAATTGAGTTAAAGTTGAGAAACCATTACTACAATTTACTCTTATAAATACTTCATTTTTTTAGTAGAATAATAGCATTAGTGAATTAAATAGTTAGTTATTAGGGAGGAGAATTAGAAGTTGAAATAGCATCATTGTGCATAAGAATGATTTCTTTCTGTCGTGGAGGTAAAACATCATCCGCTTTTGAATAACTTTATTTACAACTCGTGAAGATAGTTTAACAAGAAAGATTATAAAGTTAAAAATTTGAAGATATATAGGAAAATATGGTGGCCCTTTCTTTCTATTAATATTTGGAAAAAGTACATAATTAATATTAAACCAATACTCTGGTGGTTTTTAAATTGAGTCAACCTTATTGTCATAAATCACTAAATTTATTTCTAACAGGGAAAAATGCAAAGACATTTATCGCCTTTGCAATAGCCTTTAGCATCGAGACCAACACCCTTTGCATATTTTTCCAGACACAAGTCGTTGCATATCTTTTCTTGGCAATTAGGCATCACCTCTACTCTCCCGCAAGCATGACCTGTATACTCATTTGCCAAAACCTTAGCTCCTGCAATTGCAAGCCATACGTGCATATTAGTATAAAGGGAAAATTAGTATCTGATTCTTAGTTACTAATGTTCTTTGATTGAAATCTTATTAGTTTTTAGATTTTGATAAAGGTCTCTAGCATTAATGCAATAATGAATTTACATGTCAGTTACATAATTTTTAAAATAAAAATTAATAATTGAGTTAGGATTTTAATGCTCACACCTTTATTAAACTCCTAAATAATTTTCAATTCAAAACATTTCCAAAATAAATTAAAATAAGTGTGTACCCCTTAATTTTTTATAAAAAGGTTTCCAATTTTTTAATCTTATATGTACCCATTCATGTAATTTTGTTAATTTTTTAATCTTAAAACGTACCCATTCTTAAATATATCAATTTGTTGTAGTAAAATGTACCCTTATATATATAATCTATTCAATATTTTTCTAATTCATTTTTAAACTTATATGGGTACATTCTTTTTCTTGATTTGAGAATGTATCCATGTCAAGTTTAATCAAATAAATTTACTAATGTTATTAAGCCTAATATGTATTTTTTTGTGTGGTTTTGAAGAATGTACCCATATTTTGGTACAATAATTTTTCTTTGTTAATTTTAATATACATACATACATATACACACACACACACACAAAATATATTGGAGAGTATAATTTATATTTTAATAGTTTTAATCCACAAATTATGGGTTTTTTTTAATTTAAAACTCATTAATACAAACAACTATAAATTTCAATTTTTAATTTAAAAAATATAGTAACCTTCATAGAAATACAGTCTCACATTAATTTTAGGGACTTCGATAAAAATTTAAAAACCAACAAGGTTTTAGTCAAAGAATATTAATAGTTAGGGTCCAAAGTGTCCCCAGTATAAATTATTTATTCTTTGTTAAGATAAATTGCACGTCCCAATCCATTTTTATGATGTCAGACCAATTCTTATTTACGTTGGTAAATAGTTTGACGAGAGAATATAAGTTACGTGTTTAACATGTCCAATCAGAAATTAACAAAGTAATGGATGAAGAAACAATTACCAATAGTACTGAAGAAGAGAACAACTAGAAGGATAGAAAGACGAGAAGGGTCTTCATGTTTTATATGTCTATATGTTGATTTTGAATAAGATGCATATACGAGGGAAGTGATCTTGTTTATATTTATAAGCAAAAATCTCTTTACATTCATTGAATTGAAATCTAGGGTAAGATATACAGTAGATGTGTTACCAAATCCATGAATTATAATTAATTAGTTAAGCATGCATGAACAATTAGTACTAGGTTCATGTATCTTAATTAGTAAATTTCGTTTCTTGATTCTGTTTCTTGATTCTGCAGAAACGGAAACCAATTTAACAAATGAATTTACTAATTTAACAAATGAGATTTACTACTTAAGATTTATGAATCCACTACCAGTTGTTCATGCATGCATAATTAATTAATTATAACGGACGGATTTGGTAACACAGTAAAGGAGCCAGAAATTCAGACCAGGAGGGATTTTTAAATCATATGAAAGAAATTAAATAAAATATAGCAATATAACTAATGAGATTAAATGAAAGATTTCTTTTTGTATTGACATGGAAAATTTTAATCAAATAAGAGTGGTAAATCTTTAAAATGTATGCAAAAAATTAGTATTGTGGTAGACCTTTAAAACGTATGAAAAATTTAGTTTGAGATAATTATATCATAAAAAAAGAACTTGTTACGAGTTTTGATAAAAAGTTAACATTAGATTCAGACACAAATTTAAAATCATAATTTAATACTATTATTATGAGATATTTTTTAACATAATTGACTTTTCCTCTAAATTAACCTTGTTTAATATCAAGCAACAAAAAAAGATTGTTTTATATCAACCGCCAAAACAAAAAAGGGTTAATTTTTATAAGGTGTTTTTGTTTTATGGTTCAAAAACACATTAAGGATGCAAGTTTTGAACCCATGGCACGCAGAAACATTAAAACTCCAATAACTAAGGAGCTACATGCTCTTTAGTTAAAAATTAACAGATAACGGATATAAAATAAAAAACAGTTCAGGATGAGCTCGTGCCCATCTTGGTATTCATGTGGCTCTGCACATGTGGTAACATATATATTAAATCACAGTGAAACAAAGAAGAAGAAAATGGAGGCCTTAAAAGTAAACGAAAGCTTGTACAGATATTTTCAAATTAGGTTGAACGGATTACAAAAAATGAGAGAATTTACAATTTATACTTTTCTACAACTAACTCGACAAAATTTGTACAGGTTTTAACATATTGAATGCTATCAATTTTGTTAATGCGGGCTTGGAACACTGATGCGAAGGCAACAACCATTGTAAATTGTTTTCACCATTGCAATATCTGGTCAGATATTAAGAAAAAATGGCGAAGATGAAGGCATGTCTGATTTGCGTGAAGCCATTTATGGTCTACGGTATAGAAAAGTGATGGATGTTGAGCACCTTCCTAGTATAAATGATAGAGTGAAAGAATTGCCTGTCGGTAAAGAGATCATTACAGTGAGAATGAATACGCCCACCAAAGACGATCAAGATCCAGATGATCGTTGTGCTCTACCAACTGTTTCTCCAAAAGTGTCATTTCAAGCAGTTGTAACCTTGGTTAGCTACTTGCTACAAAATGAAAAGAAAAATACCAAATGTGGTGTGTTGGAAAAATTAGAGATGAGGTTCAGTTTAGTTTAGGTACAAAGAAGTTTTGAGAAATAGCTGAATTGAGAAAATAGGAGTTTTAAGTAAAAAAGTTCCTAAGTATGTGTTATGAATTTTTTGTGTTATTTTCTCATGTATATCATCATGTACTATTTTACATATTCGCAGGTCTTAATGAATTTTAAGACTTGCGAGGTTGTTATCTTTGTACACTGTTCCGCGTTATGAACAAAATATTTGCTTATTTAACCGAAGATATTACATATGACCATCCTCAACAAGGAGATGATAAACAATAATTCTGGGCCCCTACCAAATTTAATCTTGATCCGTGCTCCGTGCTCCGCGCTCCGCGCTCCGTACGAAAGACGGAAAAGTGCAAGTCTGTGCACAGGTTCATTGGTTTCCTTCTCAACATGTCATATATTGGGCTTCTTGAATGGACATTTGTAAATGCTTAATTCGGCAATTTTGTATAGTAAAATCGAGGCAAATGACATTACGCACCAGTACATATGGTAACAAAACGAATCATTTACACCAAATAACTTTTTTGTGTGAAATTATATATTATCTTTTAATCGATGGAGTTGGTATATACGTCTCCGTCCCCATACGTCTCCGTCACCATACGTCTCCCAAATCAAGGTGTGTTCTCTCAAGAGATTTTTGCTTATAAATAGAAACGCCAAATCCTCATCCCTCACATATATTCGTTATTCAAAATTGAATAATATCAAGAGATTAATGAATAAAAACAATTAGAGATAGAAACATGAAGAGGCTCCACTTTTTTTTCCATCTTTCTGTTTGTTCTCTTCTTCGTTGATGAATACCTCTTCGTGCATCCATTAGTATTGCACATCTCGTTTATGCCGTATCAGAGAATTGCCAATGCTTTGACTTAATGAGTTGTTATAGACAATTTTCAGTTTGCTCAAGGTTACTGAAAAAAGCTGTTTAAACCCGATGCATGTTAATTAACTCAGTCTAAAATTGGGATGTAAGAATCGGTGGTTATTTATTTTTTCTTTGGATTGTTAGAACATCTCCAAAGGAGATGTCAAATATGTCAAATAGGATTAAAAGACATTTATGTTTTCTCCAATGAATATGCCATATATGATGTGGCATGTGAATCATTTGACTTCTTGCTTTTTACATTTTTTGACAGCAAACAAATAAGGAGTCAAATATATTTAATTGAATTTTTTTTAATATATGGGTCCCATTAACAACCAATAGAATAAAAACTACAATTAATTTTGATTATTTTTTAATAGTTAATTTAACTCTAGGCCCAATAAAATAATAAAATAAATATTTGACACATCCATTGGAAAATAATAAAATTTAGGACTTGTATTCAATTTGCCATATCAGCCATCAAATAAAATTTTGACATATTATATTTGACATCTTCT